AGTGAATATTGGTTTTAACTGATTAAAGTTTAAATCAATAATAAAGATAAGCTGCATTCTAACGTTTGCAATTGTTAGATAAACAGTTGTTGCTTTAAGGAATAAGTAAAATATTCACTTTAGCAAAGGACCATATATTTTATATGCCAACTGATTGTTATTTATTTCATCAGTTCATATTTCAAAATATAGTGTATTCCCACACAAATGACACTGCATTTAAAGTTCCTATATCCAAAGGCAATCGGAAATTCCGACCCCATCCTCCCACCCAGAAAAAGCTGTTAGTTGAGCTCAACTTTGACCTTTTCTGGGCGATTTATGGGCGCTGATAAAGTTGCGCTTGCACTTTTCACCTCGGCCACACGAAATGATATAATGGAACTAGCGCCATATTCAGATATATATATTCTAGGCGGAATTACTAGAGAGTATTGGTGGCAAGCGATTTATCAGCGGCATCTGGGGCACTTCAATTCCAATAATTGCAGACCAGCGTGTGCCATTTATGGCGAATTATTCATAATTACGATTGCACGTGAAGAGGAGCTTGAGGAGAGAGGAGTGGGGAGCCATGGAAATTAGCAACTAGCTAGAGGGAGACGGCGACAGAGAATGACGTGCCTAGGCTTTTCCCCACTTGTTTTTCCGGCCAGCGCCAAAGGAGCACACGGAATATCGACAATTTGGCAGGTAGCCATGGCAACCGTTGGCAGGTCAACGGGCAACAACAAACCGAGCTCGAGACAACACTCTGAACTCAATCTACTCGAAAGTGTTATTGGTTGAGAGTCAATGCTTCTTTGGGCTTTCAGATTTTTCCCAGAGCCTAAATAATTCATATTTTCTTAGGGATCAAGCTGATTTGCATTTAAAGATTGAGATAAAATTCCTTCTACTATATCAAAGACTTTTGTACATATGGAATTCCAGCTTGTATTTTTGTGTGATCTGAAAATACCTTTGAAAACCTGTGGTTACATGGTAATATGGAAATACGTGAACGTAAGATCTTGTTGTAGATCCAAAACACTTGGTAGAACATTTTATAATCATTGTAATCGGAGTTTAAAATTGCCTTAGAGGTCGCTTACAAAAGATTGAGGTAAAAATGAGTAGGTTTAAAATAAACAGACTAAAAAGAAATTTTACTCTCATTCAATTGAGGACTTACTAACATACTGAATTTCATATTGAAGATAGTATTGATTCTATGATCCAAAAATACATTTGGAAACCTGATGATGATAAGTTAATAAGGGAAAATGAACATAAGACCTTGTTTTAGGTCCAAAAACTTGATAAGAATGTTTTGAAATCTCTATAATCAGAGTTTCCGAATTCCTTGTAAGGTCGCTTACAACACGAGTTCCTTTCTCCCCCTAAAAATAGTTGTTCAACTTTTGTATTGACTGCAATTTGTCCGAGCCTTTCAAGGATATCGCCTCCGGTGGAGACAAATTTGCAAAACAGAAATTATTCAAATGTTCTTTAAGGGGGGGCGTTGGGCCATATACCTGCTGGGGGCGTGGCAGGGGCAGAGGTTATGGGGGCGAGGGGGGCAGCGACAGCGGCAGCAAATCACATAAAGGAAATGTCACGCTATGTCAGGCCGCAGGCCAACAAATACAAAAAATACAGCTGAATCGAACAAAATCACACGCCCGACGTCAGAACGTTGTTGCAGGATATGGTAGGAATATCTTTCGGGTGTGGGGGCGTGGCAAGGTGGAGGGTGGGCCGTGCAGGTTGCCCTACTGTTACGTGTTTGCAATCGATTTGAAAGTTACATAAAAACAGAGCCACAGACCAAGGGCAAAAACGGGGAAAACCGAGGTGGCAAGAGAGTTTTGGTAAACACCTGGAGTGGCCAACAACAACAACAAGAACAACAACCTCAGCAGCAGTAGAAGCAGCAGCAACAAGGCGCCAAAAGCAATTTGTGCGACCAACTTTTCACTGTGTTTGCCTTCTGGGTAAACTGACCTACGCATTAAATATGCAGGAAAGTTAAACATCAGATATATAGATACATATATTATATAGAAGGACCAGACGAAACGAAATACTGGCGATGGCGCCGACAGGTTACAGTGGAGCCATCAAAGTAGATTCCCCGCCCATTCATTTCCACACCCAAAAGCCTCCGCCTAGAGCAATAAAATTTCACAAAACAGCAAATAACAAATGTCGGCAAGAACAGTAAACACTGCCAATGGGTAAACCAATTAGAGCCGATGTCCAGGATAACAGTCAAGTTGGTCTTAATGAACAGCCCATTATTCCATTCCTTTAGTTTAGCTTAGAAAATTGGTCAATTAGGGGGTAGCATTTCTCTTAAGCTTGTTTGCTGAAGGGAATTTAAGATATATTTGTATAGGTTAGAGCTAAGACGTCATTTGAACTATTCCTATTTTCGATGTAAAGATAAAAGTACAAGTCCTCAACCTTATAAAAGAAAAAATATCGAAATTTTTTAAGATTTGATTAAAATTTAAAACGGACATCTTTAAACTTCTTCTTTCAAAGAAATGTTTGATGTTTAAGTTCCATTAAGGGACAGAGAATAAGCTAAATTAGGAGTGTATTTTTTTTTAATTTTTTTAAGTTTACAAAAAAAAGTATTGGAATACAATTACTTTTAAGGCTTCTTTTGAACGAAGTTATGTACTCAGATAGGAATTAACAAAGTCATTATATTTTCTTTCTTTAATTTGACCTAAGAAAATCACTGCTTTGAGCTAAGAATATATTTCGAATTTGGATTGTAAAGATCATGATGACTTTTTCTTGTGGGATTCGAACCCAGGCCAACTCTTTTACCCAGCAGTAGTTAAAGGCTTCACTGTGGCAGCTGCTGACATGATTGCGGCGAAGTTTTCTTTTCTGGAGGTCGTTTAGAGTGGAAAAGCGCCAGCTCCGTGAGAGTGAGAATCAGAGGGCGGGAGTGGGAGGGAGATGGAGACAGAGAGAGAAGGAGGGCAGCAGGGCTGGCATTACGTCAGAGCCAGAAGCCATTTGGGGCTTGTCAAAATTAGCAGTCAGGAAAAGCGAGGAAAGCCAAACCAACTAACCAACGAAACTGAAGCCAAAACACAACAGGAAACACGAATAAAAACGAACATAATAAATGGATGAATTAGTAAAGATATGACGAGCAACAAGAACAGCAACAACAACATGCATACAACAACTAACTGTTAACTAAGTTAAAGAAGAGTGCGCAAAATATATAATAGTGCTAATTCGAAAACAGATACTGGGATGCAAATGAAAAGTTTAGATGAGGCAGTGTGTTTTCTTTTCTTTTTAATGGGGGCGCAGAGAGAGAGACAGAGAGAGGATAAGACAGAAAGAGAGAGAGAGAGGGGGGAGAAGTAGTAGAGAACTGCAACAAAACAAATGCTCCACTTGCATTGGCGAGAGAGGGAGAGAGAGGAAGATAGTAAGAACTTGATAAACTTATGAGATCCTCTCGACCCCCTCCTCTTTCACACCTTCTCAATTGGCATTTGTTTTGTTGTCTGTTTTGCACTCGTGTGTGTGTTAATTGTGCCCGCTGTGTGTAGGTGTGCGGTGGGAGTTTGTGTGAGTGTTTAGTGGTTGGATATGAAAACTCACCTGACGCTTTCCGTTCTTTTTCTTCTCTTCTTCTTCTGCGGGTCTCAAAAACGAGATAAAAACTACAACCGCTTTTCCCTCTCGCCTGTCTTTTCAGTTATCAAAAAAGATACCGTTCCTTCTAACTGCACTGTCTATGAAAAAATCAATATTCGGTCTGGGCCAAATTTTTTTCTCAGCTTTTCTTTTACAACTTGTGTAATTTGTGTGCTCGTTCTGTTTCGTTCACTTGATTCTCTCGCTCTCGCGCGCACGCACACACACACACACGGCGCTGTTCGCGGTTGCCAGTAATTTCGGGGATCAGTTTCTTGTATTTTCTCCAGCTGCTTTCGAGTCTTTAAATTCCGTTCTGTCCCGTTTCGATGCAGCGCAAATTTGTTGGCGGTGGTGGAGTGTCGACAGAAACATCGATTCCCCGATTCTTACAACTTTTTGGAAACATCAATGTTCTGTATCGGTTATCGATGCTTTTTCCACATCACTAACTCTGTTACCGCACGCTCTTCTTTCAACAGCTCTGCCACGTTAAAAAAACGTTACTTAACTCTGGTTAAGTGGCGCTATTAGAGTATCATTCTATATTATTTTCTTATCACTGGCTGAGTTAACTCAATGTCTCCAATTACATTAAGAAATCTCAAGTCTTTACAAGGTAAATTTCATAGAAAATAAAATAAATGAAAAAAGATGAAAAGTTACCTTGAAAAAAAAATGTTTTGCTGATCATGGACCTTGCAGGGATGTCGGTAGCAACCTTTCAATTTAACATAACTCAATATTCTTCCATCACTAGTTTCCTATGTCAAACGTATCAATAAAACATAGTTCTTTCGAGGCTCGATGTATTCACAACTGAATCCCAGTAAACTCGTCTACTTCCTTTTTTTTTAACGACCTTCTTTTTTATAGGATGAATAATAAACATAATATATAAAAGCGTTAGGGAAATTTCAATTTTCTACTTTCCTCTAAAAAATATTTGCTACTATGTATATCTATAATTAACGATAAACGAACTACCCGCCCTATAAAGATACTTCTTTCATTACTTCTTTCACTTAGATTTGTTAGAAAACGTTGTATCTTAACATTTCTGTTGAAAGGAGAGGGGGAGCAAATTCGAAATTAGCTGGTGTGTAGAATGTATAATGTAGAAAATAATAATACCCATGGTCAGTCTTTTTCGCGTTTTTAATTTCAGATGCGGTTTTCTAACTATAAATTATAAAATATCAAAAATAAATATTGAAAAATACTTATATTTATTTAAGAAATACCGATGTTTTGATATTTTTATGTATTTTCCATTTTATTTTACCTTACTTACGTACTGGCTCTTACGCTTGCTGACACTAACGTTTCTGTCACTTACGTTTCTGGCACTTACGTTACGTGATAGCGGCCAGGAACATGTGTTTTGTATTGTATTATTCAGAATTTTGAATTTTGTATTGACAAGTGGAATTCTGATTAAAGAAACCCCATAGCTAAGACTTAAGTGCAACAGGAAGAACCAGCAAGGACAGCAAGCAAGTTTAATAGTTCACAAACGTGCCGAAACGCAGTTAACTTATTAATAACTTTTGCAGACATGCCGCGACCCTATCAGAGGGCTGTTAGATTTGCCAAACTCAGTGCCCAGCTAGAGGCCAAAAACGGGGACGATGACTCCGACGACGAGATCGATTTTCCGGAGGATCCCGAGGGAGACAATAGGAATCAGCAAGAGTATATGGTGAAGACTCTGGATACCGCACCGCATTTTACCTTCGCGGCTGCGAACACTGGAATGCTGGGCCAAATGCTCCACGACCAGGACGAGGATATGGCGCAGGACTTTCCCAATTGCCTGGTGACGGTGCCACTGCCACTGTTCGTGGCCCAAGACGGGCAAACGCCCCGTGTGGAAGCCTGCGTCCAAAGACCCCATGATTACGAAGATTGGAACCGGCAATTGAATTCCTACAACGTCTATTACAAAAAGCGCACCCAAGCGATGAAGCAGCGTGAGCAAAAGCACCGGGAAAACGTCTACGATATCACCCTGTTCGAGATGGCCGAGCATATTGCCCGGCAGGAGAACCCATTTTTCCGGGATGTCTACGATTACTATTACACTGGCGGAAACCTCAACACGATTCCGTTCGAGGGAGGTGGTCACCTGGCCGTGCATGTCAGCGGTGATAAGCTGAGGGATCTGAACTTTTCCGAGATCAATAGTGAGGCGGAGTTGTGGCATCCGTTGCATTCGGCTAAAATGGACGACGTTTCCAGCGAATTCTTCGAACTCTTTCCATTGGAGAGATTGCCGACCGATTCCGGCCATAGGTTCCTGGCACGCTCTTTAAAAGAGGTTTCGCTGTACGAGTTGAAGCGAGGAGAGGATCTGGAGTTGGAAGATTACAAACTGATTTGCCATAGCAAGTTCAGCAGTCAGGAAGCTCCATTTACCAGCGCCGCACAATCATTGGGCAATGCTAATACCTTGGCCCTGGCTTGCCAGGATCGCTCTATGCTCTTCGTGGACATTTTGACCCAACAGGAAATAGCCAAACATAATGTTCGCCTGCTTAAGGGACTGCAACAAACCACGAGTACCTGGGCACAGCTATTGCCAGCAGATGGTAACACCTTTCACTACCTCTCGCAGCCTGTTCTGCTCACCGTGGATGTGAGATGCGATAAGCCCCTAAATCCTTGCTTCGCCAGCAAAATCTACTCCAGAACCTGCGAGACTTTCTCGTGTTTAGCCAAAGGTGTAAATCCCAATCTGCTGTATGTGGCTAGCAATCACAAACTCCACTGCTTGGACATGAGGTGTTTGGGTAAGAAACTGGCCGATCGTTCTGTCGTCACCTGGACACATCAGTTGACCTATCCGCCCGTTTTTATGGACACATTCGCCCACCGCGAAAGTGAATATATAGCATTAGCTGGAGCTTTTCCCACCGATCTGCGTATTTGTGAGCTGAAAGGATCTGATGCCCAGTGTGTGGATGAAATGTTCTCACCTGCAATGCCCTTTTCTCCTCCAACCCAAGAAGAAGCTTTAATCGATGCTCGTTTGAGAGGCTTTGTTGATGTCTATTCAGATCTGCCAGAACGGGTAAAGACATGCCGCACAGGACTGCGCTTTCATCGATTGGAAGCGGCCAGTGATCAGGCTTTTGCCCAGCTACTGAGTGCAAACAGCTTAGGAGACGTTTACTGCCAAAGACTAACGCATAGAGACGAAGACGACCATGTCCAGGAGATAAGAACCGGACTCCACACCACGGAAGCCATCCGTTACACTGCCAAGATTATCCAGCAGCGCGTACAACGCCAAAGTCTCCGTTGCTCCGAAGTACAGAGGATACCGCAAATTAGAGAAATATTTCGTGAAGCCGCAAAAAGGTCGAAGCCGGATGAAAAACCTGTTATAGTAGAGGAAATCGAAATTGACTATGGAATAGAAGATACAGATGTGTCAGAGGACGAAAGCCAAAACACCGAAAAAACTGAAAAAGAACCAACGAAATCCGAAAAAAAAGGGAAAAAGAAACACAAAAAGAAATCCAAGGAGAAACCAAAACAGCAGCCCAAAAAGAAAACTCCTGTTAAAGTAAATATAAAAAAAGACAAGGGTATAAACCGTGGACCGTGGCAGAAGTCTGCTTACAAATTATCTCACTACACGGACTTCTTGTCGGTCCGTTTACTAGAAATATGGAATATGGAGGAGTTTGATAACACAAGAGATGTAAATAGAGAAATGTTCCATGAGCGCTTGCAGGATAAGGAATTGGAGCCGGAGAAACGCATGGCCGATTGGCTAAACCAACTGCCCAGCCAGCCAGGGAACACTCGAGGAGACGAGGTGACGGAGGGGAATCCCGACCTGGTGCCGGGAACGAAGCTTCCCAAGCTATACGCCGCCACTACAGCAGAGTACTTTGAGATGAATGGGCACATTAAGGAACAACCAATTACTCCCAAAAAGGAATTGCCTGTCACCTTTAGGCACGAGCATTCGATTCTCCTGCCCGGGCAGAATACTATCATCGAGGGGGACCTTAATCCCAGGCCCGCTAAGAGACCCAAGATCAAGCACGTCATGGGGTTCTAGCATACTTTCGAGTTAGTCAGTTTAAGATTATTCCAGCAACTATCTCAATACTTTGACGAATTATGCTGCTTTAAAAAGTATAATTATTTTAGTTACAGCTTAAGCCATAATGTAGAATCAGCCATTTAAAAAAAGTCGTTATTTTTCGTTTATAAATATATACCATAAGAAATTTTCTAAAATTGAATAAATATACCTTTTCAAATACCATTTTTAAATAGTGTGTCAATTTTGACTTGGGCTGCAATAAGTAGCCACATAATCTTTAGACTTGCTCATGCCTTAAACTGCGCTGTATATTATGTATCAATCAATACTCGCCATTTTTGATGATATTCACTCGTTGAGGATATATCTCCACCCAGATCGGGTTCGTAAGCTGGATTCACGATTCCCACGATTGGCTCCACCACAAATCGATCTTTTCTGCGTTTAAGGGCGTATCCTATGGATTGGTTAGCCATATTGGGTCTGTCTTGATTTATTTGCAGCATTATATTTTGGGTCTGTTTTTTGACCACACACAACCGTTTTGAGAGTGCTACGGATTTCGACTGATTTTCAATTAATTTGGGCAGTTTGCATTTAATTGATTCGATCTGGCTATCGCTCGTCGGCGCTCAGTGGGGCGTAAAAAGAACCAAGGGTGACACTTTCATAGGAGTGCCCATCGATAGAATATATACATAGAATAGAATGAGCTGAGCTCGGTCGGATATCAGCCAAAGCTACAAAACGTTGGCTTAGCTTATCTTAAACTAAAAACAGCACGTCGATGAACAAAATGGCAGTTACGGAATAATATTCTTATATGATATGTTCTATGTACCTACATTTATGGATAGAAAAGATCGATTCCGACCCTGTGAAGTACCTATGTAGATTGTTGATTCCTGGGGAAGCATACAAGCTTGAAAGATGGGGTTAGAAGATTTTGAAGATTGAAACTTTATTTATTTAGTTACCTACTTGCCGAGAATCGTACCAATCGCACTATTATTTTTAAAGTTATGGGTAAGTTAAAACGGCTTTTCAGGGTCAGTGGATCTTTAGGAATTTTCAAAATCATCTGGTAGCCGAGGCACTGGCAACATTCCTTGTTTGTTATACCCTTGCAGAGGGTATTATGATTTCAGTCAGAAGATTGCAACGCAGTGAAGGAGACGTTTCCGACCCCATAAAGTATATATATTCTTGATCAGCATGTCTAGACGAGTCGATCTAGCCATAACCGTCCATTTCTACGCAAACTGAAACTTACCCAAAAGTCTTTTTACTTTTGCAGGTAGTATATAAGTCGGAACCAGCCGGATCGAACAACTACATCTTATAGCTCCCATAGGAATAATCGGAAAAAATGTTTTTAAAAAATAAATCTTTGGAAATAACGTTTTTAAATTAGTTCTGAATTTCGAATTTAATTTAATCAAAATCGGACGACCATATCATGTAGCTGCCATAGGAATAATCGAAAAATTGGTGGGAAAATAATATGAAACAAAGTATAGCTTCGGTGTTTTTTGACATATTATATTATACTTTTGGGAATATCATTTTTTGTTTTGTTAAGAACTTCGAATTACATTTAATATATATAACTGCAAGGGTATACAAACTTCGGCTTGCCGAAGATAACTTCCTTTCTTGTTTTTAAATGTATGAAATCGAGAATTTCTTTGAACAAATTTGCTATTTCCAACCTCCTAAACATTGACATGCTGCCCTATCGCAACATCGCTTAAAAAATCCATTCTCACACTCACCTTACCGAAATGTAAAAAAAAACTCAAAGATCGCTACATAAACTCTGTCTCTGCCAGCTAAGGTTTTTCCACTACATAGCGCACTCTAATGTATTGACTATCATCATCCATCATATATGAGCCGTTCTTAAATTAACGATTTCCCATCTCAGGTAAACAGACAGGTGGTTACTATTATGCTTTGATAAAATATTAAATAAAACGCCAAAAAAAACATTTGTTCTCGGATAATACTAACATGGTAAGCATTTGGGGGCACATTTTTCATTTATTATAAAATCTGTATGAAATAGTCAAGAGGCCATTCATTCTTTTTTATACAGTTTTTAAACTATATATTCCTCATCTGTTAATGACGTATTCAAAGCAGAACATGACTCATTTATTTTAAGAGCAAATACATAATTTTATAAATATGGTGACTGTTTGGGTAACTACTATAAATATAGCAAAATTAATGAATTCATTGTAAAATATGTACAAAAAAATTGTTTTTCCATTTAAAAATCGTATTTTTTTAAGTTAAATACAAAACACATTTTTCTACAAAATTTGATTAAAATTACAAATGCGTAAGCATAAAAATTATAAGTTTCGTCACTGTTTAGTTAAAATTTAAAAATTCGTATGAAACGTTTTCCCAAAGAAATTACATTAAGCTTCTACTGTACTATAAAAGAATAGCGAGCAGAATAACACTTATTCAGTCGTCGCGAAATCATGAAGAAAGTATTAGCGGTAATTGCAGTCCTGGTCACTCCATTTCTTGGGGCTGAAAAAGGATCTGCCTCTCTGCTCGATAGCGATTGCGTAATATTAAAAAAGTCCAAGATTGCTGGAAAAATTTCTGGAGGTTATAATGCCGGCATGTTCTCGAACCCATGGATGGTTAGGGTGATGGTAATGGGAAAATCAACTTGTGGCGGCTCTCTTATCACCTCTCGTAATTATTTTATTTAAATAATTTAAAAAAAAATAAACCCAATACGTTCGTAATCTTTTGCAGGTTTTGTTTTGACGGCAGCGCATTGCGCTTACAATGGAAATATGTAGGTGCAATTTTTTAATTTATACTTAGAGACACGCTAATTGTCAATTACAGGACGGTGCGCTTAGGGGAATACGACACGCGGAATCCTAGGAGAGGTATCGAAGTTAATGTCGATAGGACACTGGTTCCCCGAAAGTTCATAGAAACGAACGAGCAACAGTATGACATAGGCCTACTTCGAATGGCGAAAGAGGTGCCGTTCTCAGGTAATTTTATGGCATAGTGATCAAGGATCTCCTAAACTAAAGATATTTTATTTAGTTCATATAAGACCGATATGCCTTCCCTTCAATGTGGAAATGATAAATGTTTCACGATTTAAGGTCACTGGCTGGGGTAGGCTTCAAAATGGTAAAACGAGTCCCATTCTGCAGACCGCTACTATATATGCTATGGATCGTCGGCTTTGTGCCAAGAAATTTGGTCTTACGGTTGATAGAACCCAGATTTGCGCCGGAAGTAGAAGAAGGGACTCTTGCAATGGGGATTCTGGAGGCCCTTTGAGCGCAAATGTGGATTACTTTGGACAGGTTCGACCCATTCAAATCGGAATTGTCAGCTATGGAATTCCAAGTTGTACAGGTTTAACTGTTTACACAAATGTGTCGCACTATATGAACTGGATTATAAATGTTATGATTCGCAACTCATAAAATTAAAGCAACGGTCGGCACGGAATACATTGACATTTTGTCTTTTAACGACTGTAACGACTGCTGTTCTACGCTGTACGTGTGCCGGCAGATGCTGAGATTGCTGGTCTTTTAAAGGGTAGTATCATCACTTATGTATGATAATGTCTGTTTAAACAGAAAAGGAAAACTTTATTATTTTTTGCATTTTATTTTATTATTATCGAATACAAATTAAGATGATGTAATATGTAAATATCATTTAAAAAAAAATGTTCAAAGATTAGAAATGTTATAAAATGTTTTCCCGAGTAAGTGTATAAACCAACCAAATTTTTCAGTATTGCTGATGTAAAAGCAATTGGAACAATATAACTACAGAATGGTTGATTTCACCAACACATTTGAATGTGAATTATCCTCATTTTGTAAGCAAGAACTTTATTTGGCTAAAAGCAGGGCTTAAAATGCTGATACATTTATAGTTTTTACTATTTTTTATTGATACGAGAGTAATTTCTATGAAGCCTGGAGCAAAGCATTTTTGTACAGCTACAAACAGAATACTATAAGGATCCGTAGAAATATTTAAAACTATAGATATACGCTTTACCCGTAGAGTAAAAGGATATATCAGATTTGTTGAAATCAGGTAGAAGGAAGCGTTACCGACCCTATAAAGTATATATATTCTTGATCTGGATCACTAGCCGAGTCGATCTAGCCATGTCCGTCTGTCCGTCCATCCGTATGAGCGCGGGATCTTGGAAACAATAAAAGCTAGAATGTTGGGACTTGGCCTGCAGATTCTTAAGCTTCTGCGTAGCTAAAGTTTATTTCAGCACCACTCTAACGCCCAAAACAGTAAAACCTGTCTAGCGCCCACATGTTTAAGTACTTCATTTATTAAAAAATAGAAATGTATGACACTTTGTTTATATTATCAATCCTCATCTACATGCCAAACAGATTTTGGGAACAGTAGCTAGTAGTAAAATCTCCACCTCCCTCGTAATCCCTTTTTCTGAGTAACGGTTCTTTGATAGTCAATGCCATCGTCTAAAGCGTTATCTTTTGTTATTATATAGAATTCTATGCTCCGAAAAAAAACTGTAGTATAATATAATACTATGGCTCCATACAGTTTTCTGTTTGTGTATTTTGACTATGATTTTCTCTAGGCTTCGAAAAAATTAGTCTTGTGGCAATAGTAAAACATTTTAGTACTTACTACTGCTGTTATGGACTAGTATTTTCAAATCCTGGTGAAAAGAAATATAATGGTTAAAAATAAAAATACAATTAAAATAATAGAATTCGATAATGGCTAAAAATAAAGGTTTAAAACTTTATCAACTTGTATATAAAATATTACAAACAGTTTTCTTGTACAAAATGCGGGCAGCCAGAAGAAACTTAAGTACTCACATTTTATTTTAAATTCATTTCATCATAGGAAGTATACATACAGTATAAGAATTAATTCTACAGAAATAAAATATATATAAGCAATAAATTATTTTATCAAACAATTCAAGCAATTCAATCCACTTAGATGTATGATTCCAAAGAATTCATTTTTATACAAATTTTATTGCTTATTTTATTATTTTATCACACACCCAGAGAAAAAAACATCTTAAATCAAATCCATTGATTCAGCTCCTATGTGTGTTGTGCTTATGTAAAAGCTGGTACAATTTTAATTTGCCGTATTATTTTAAAAACAATAATAATAAGAAATATAAAAAACTTAAATTTTATCTTTAAACTTTTCCTTAAAATTGAGGTTTCTTAAGTTTAAATATTTTTGTAATTCAATGAAAATGTTATGAAATGTTAAATTATTCAATAATTAATAATTAAATAATTATATTTAGTTCAAGGTACGGCTTATTTCCTATATTTTGGTAATGATTTTAAGGTATTAAGGTATTTGTGATAAAAAAACGGTTCGTTTGTAAACGAACGCGGTTGATGATTAAGATTTTGGGGCAGTTCAGAAGAAAAATATTTTATATTTATGCAAATATTCCCTCTTTTTAGAGCTCAACTTTCCTTTAAATTGTTTCCCAAAGATGTGGTGATAAGGAATTCCTATAAAAGAATGGCATGGAGAAGGCCTGCCATTCAGTCTGTGCAAAGCCATGAATATAATAATAGTGGTAATTGCGGTCCTGGCGGGCCTGTTTCTTGGGACTATAAACGGATCAGCCTCCTTGCTCGATAGCAAATGCGGAAAATCACATCGTTCCGATAATTATGGGATGATTGCGGGAGGTGAAAATACAGGCATATTCTCGAATCCATGGATGGTATCGATAATAGTAGGGGGTACTCCAATTTGTGGTGGCTCTCTAATCACTTCTCGTAAGTATCTTATCCTAAAAAGCAATTTAATTTGAAATTAATCCAATACTTTTGTAATCTTTTGCAGGTTTCGTTCTGACGGCAGCGCATTGCATATCTCGTGATAAAACGTAAGTGCATTAGTTACAATCTTCGTTGAAATACCCAAATTTCCCTTTATAGGATCGTGCGATTGGGCGATTACCTAACAGTGAATCCTGAGAATGATTGCTCTACGGGTGTTTGCATACCAAGAGCCTATTTTAAAAATGTCGATAAGAAAATACCTCACGCAGATTTCCGTTTAGCCCCATACGTCGGTCTGTATGATATAGGCCTGCTTCGAATGGCTGATGAGGTGGAGTTTTCAGGTAATTCAATGGGTTTACCACAAACTACCTTCTAACTTAAAATCTTTTTCATTAGACTATGTCAGGCCGATATGCGTCCTCCTTAATGCAAAAATGGAAAATGTTTTACAATTTAACGTCACCGGCTGGGGTTGGCGTGAAAATGGTGAAATGAGTCGCATTCTACAAAAAGCAACTCTATCTAAATTTGATCGTTCGCAATGTAGCCAGAAATATAAATCAACGGTTGATGAGACCCAGATTTGTGCCGGAAGTTATAGCAGTGACTGTTGTAATGGGGATTCTGGCGGCCCGTTGAGCGCAGAGGTTTATTACCAAGGAGAGTTTCGGCCCTTTCAGTACGGCATTGTCAGCTATGGAAAACACCAATGTACTGGTGGAGGATTAGGTGTTTACACAAATGTGACAAGCTTTACGTACTGGATTATGGATGCTATGCTGCACAACTCCTGAGTTTAGATGATGAGGCTCTTAAAATTTGTAGTTTACTAATCTTAATGTTAATGTTTTTTCAAAGAAAAGAATAAACATTAAGTTTTAGCATTATACAAATTAATTATTATTAATATTATAAATAAAAAAATAAATAAGGTTGAAGTAATAAAGCTTAAAAAGAATAAAAATATGCTTATTTATCATTCAATAACTTTAAACAGCTCATTAGCCGTTTGAATGAATTCCAAGAAAAGGTTTCAGTAAATTTTGTGTAGAGGGGTCAATTCTCAGAAAAACTTAAATTTATCGATAAAACTGAAGTATAATTCCGTACTTCTTTTTTTCTTATCATGCACCGTTTACTTTTTAGGTCCAAAGTTTGAAGCACCTTTTGTTAAAGAAAATTACATTTGAAGACTTGTTTGAGTATCTTGGATGGAACATTCACTCAAAAGTAAATTAACATAATATCCTATCAATAAATATTTTTAAATTTTATAATAAAAATGAAGTACCTTTTAAAACTTTTGAAAATATACGCTTGACGAGGAATGAATCATATATAATTATAAATAGAAACCGCCAATATTTCATTATTATATAAACTTGAAGTTTCTTTGCTCATTTAACTTTGTGAGTATGAGTAACCGACTCACGGAGACCCCTAATTTAAGAAAAGAGAGTGACATAAATCTAAAAAAACCCAGTTTGATTCATTTTTAACATTTATCAAGCTCTGTGTATTTAAAATGTAAAACAATTTTAAGAACTTTTCAGCATCAAAATTAAAAATCGTGTTTTCGGACTTATGACACCCTTCTATAAAACTAGCAATAAGTATAGACCTGACTTCGATGGCTCCCAGTGAAAATATATTTGATGTTATAAGAACTAGATACAATATAAACATTATGTAAATGCCTTTGATCATATTTACAAATATAAAGTCAAAAATCAGATTCAACAATAATTCAACTTTTAAATTTAACAAGTCAAATATTCTCCTTACAAAAAATAAGTGCAAGTACTCACACTTTATTTATAAAAACATATTTTAAATTTTGATAAGAAACATACTTAATTGAATTTGATGAAATTCCCTAGAAATATGGCTCGAAATTTTTAGGTAGCAGATTAAATGAATAAAGATTAAAACAAGAGAGGACGTAAAAGTCGATGCCATCCACTGCTTCGACTTTTTTACTCATTGAGTAATAAGAATAATGATAAGAATTCCTATAAAAGAATCGGGAGATGAATTCGTCTCACTCAGTCTATCAAATACCATGCAGAGAGTTATAGGGGTTTTTGCGGTCCTGGCCTGCCTGTTTCTTGGGACTATAAACGGATCAGCCTTCTTGCTGGAAAGCAATTGCGGAAAATCCCAACGTTCCGATAATTATGGGATGATTGGGGGAGGTGAAACTACAGGCATATTCTCGAATCCATGGATGGTATTGATAATAGCAGGGGGTATTCCAACTTGTGGCGGCTCTCTAATCACTTCTCGTAAGTATCTTATCTTAAAAAGTAATTTAATTTGAAATTAATCCAATACGTTCGTAATCTTTTGCAGGTTTCGTTCTGACGGCAGCGCATTGCATATCTTGTAATAAAACGTAAGTGCAATAGCTACAAATTTCGTTGAAATACCCCAATTTCCTTTTGTAGGATCGTGCGATTGGGCGACTACCTAACTGTGAATCCTGAGAATGATTGCTCTACGGGTGTTTGCATACCAAGAGCCTATATTAAACATGTCGATAAGAAAATAATTCACGCCGATTTTAACAAAACCGTAAGCTTACAGTATGATATAGGCCTGCTTCGAATGACTGATAAGGTGGAGTTTTCAGGTAATTCAATGGGTTCACCACAAACTACCTTCTAACTTAAAAACTTTTTCATTAGACTATGTCAGGCCGATATGCCTCCTCCTCAATGCAAAAATGGAACATGTCTTACAATTTAACGTCACCGGCTGGGGTAGGCGTGAAAATGGTGAAATGAGTCGCGTTCTACTAAAAACAACTCTCCCTAGAGTTTATAATTATTATTGTGATAACCATTTCAATACGAAGACTGATCAGACCCAGATTTGTACTGGCAGTTATACTAGTGAAACCTGCGAGGGAGACTCTGGAGGTCCTTTGAGCGCAGAGGTTTTTTACGAAGGGCAATTTCGTCCGTTTCTGTACGGTGTGGTCAGCTATGGATCTCAATATTGTACAACTGAAGGTTTAAATGTTCACACAAATGTGGAACAATATGTGGACTGGATTGTGCGTGCTTTGATTCATAATTGATAAAACAAGAAAAGGCGTCTCTTACATTGGAATATTTCCTACTATCTATGTAGTATAAATATAAATATCAAATAATAAAGTACGTAATGAACATTTAATTGACAAAATTGCTTAAATTTTATAAAATATTCCTTGATTTGATTGTCCAATCATTTAATTAGCATTTTAAATAAAGCCCCACCCACAAATAAAATCAGCGCCTGCGCCCTGGGAAAAGTAGGCGTGGTCTAGTGTTTCGGCAACATTGTAGCTAAAGGACTACCAGCAACATGCAAAGTGTAAGCTTTTGCCACAAACACCTTTCAGTTAAAATTGAAAAATTGCTCGAGCAGGTTGTGTGACCTCTGTGTTCCATATATTTTCGGTTTTTGGTTAAAGTTTTTTCAGAGGATATTTAACTTGATACAACTAACTATTTTTCCGGAATATATTTCATATTTTTCCTGTAAGTGTAAGTTAATTCAAAATTCCGTGAATTATGTTAGATAGCAAGAGTAAAAATATAAAATTCAGTTTTTTTGTAAACTTCTTAAAAAGGTTAGAGTTTAAATGAAATGAAAAATGAAATGAAATTATGTTCTAAGCAAAATAGGGGAGTACTAAAGTAATATTTTAATTATCCACAACATGGGTAATAACACCTATTATGTGTAAATAATTGTTAATAGTATACAGCAAAATATCTGTTATAGCTCTAGTCTAAAATCTGCATAAAACTTGATCCGGCACTGGACGAGAGAGAAACTACCATGTTGATTACGTGGACAAGTGCTCCCGTGGCGCTCTCTTTCTTTCTGTCTCTGCTCCACCCCCCACAGAGAAACCACCAGATCTCTCTCACATGATCTGTTACTCTTTCCCCGTACTCTTACCTTACACTTACGCGTGCAAATGAAGGTGGCACTGACTCTCTCTCGCTATCACTCGCTACCTTTCTCTCTTGCTCTCTTCAAACAGTTCCTCGTTTGTAGTATGCGGGTGCACTGAGAAAAAATGCAACCCAGAAATGCATTTCTTCAGTTTTAGTTTGGACTAAACATTCTTAAAAACATCTATTGTTGTTTAACATTTGTATAATTTAGATATTTTTTTAGCTATTTCTGAAATAAATTAAGAATCCCTAATATAATAACATTTGTGTAAGTAAAATAAAAATAATAATAATATTTAAACTTCCTAAAATGCCGAAACAGATGTTCACAGAGAGAATTCTGACGTTCTTTCTTAGTTTAAAATGTTCTTAAAAATAAAACGACATTTTTTTGCGTTGAAAATATTTTCAATGTGCTGAAATCAAGCTAAATCCGCGGTATTACATTGCTTATCTCAACAACTAAACTATTAGTCCAGTCAGTAGTATAAGCTTATCAAAAAGTTGTTAAATAAACTCAATTTAACTTTTTTCTTCGCACCATTTTGCTCTAATATTGAGAACATTGTACCCAAAATGTACTTACACGGTTTTGAAGAACGAATGTTCTCAATTCAAGAACAATTTTCTTGAATATTTTTTTGTACATTTTTGTAAAAGGTAAAATTAAAAATCAAGATTGTGATATTTGCAAACTGCAAGTAAATTTTTCTGAGTGCTCGAGTCGCGGGTAGTAAAACAACGTCGCCGGCGACGATTCCAGCATTTCTCGGCCGCACTTCGATCGAAACGGACGTGTCTCCACTGCTCTCACCGTTTGCTCGCGTGTTTTCCGTTCATCGCATCCGCCCCCGCCCTTCGCCGGAATCGAGTGATAATCCATCTGTGGAAGACAAAAGGTATAATCAAATATCAGATCGAAAATCGTGTGCTTGGCTTGGCGTAAATATCTCGAAAATGTGCTCATTAAGAAATGAAATGAAGTCGAGAAATCGAAAGAAAGCGTGTACTTTGCCATTGCTGTCGTGTCTCCTCCATTCATATTCAGTCCACGCCAACACATACAGTTGTATACTGTAGCCTTATATGTATACGCCCCAAGAAAACTGAACGAAAGAAGAGGAGAAAGAGAGCTTATCGCTAGAGGTCCATAAAAATAATAATATTGCCGGTCGGTTTCTGGTATTTGTTATTGTTGCTCCCCAACTAATCACGATCGGTACAATAATTAGCATTTCCTATTCGGAAAATAAGAAAAGCTCCTGACGTGTCGTTTAGGGGAAGATTTTTCCGAATTAGTTAGCGCCGGTCTGTAAATTGGAACTCTTACGGTAAACTTCGTACCGCCAGTTCACTGAACCTCTCATAAAAGACACACAAAAAAGTTGAAACAAAAAGATACGTGTGGAAAAGAAGAAGCTGGATCGCCCCAACAGGTTTTTAATGCTCGATGCAGTCAACCGATATAAGATAAAAGATATAAGAGGTTGTTCAGTGTAACTAAAGGAATGAAAGATGAAATAAAAGTTTTTTTAATTATTTACCAGTAGAGTTCATAAGTATTAAGATAATCACTAATAGCTGTATTTTAAAGGCACGTGAATCTCATTTATCATTTTAAATGATTTAAACCTTTCAGAGCTATCACAAATTTAATAATCCGAGTCCAAAATTAAGAAACCGTTCATATCGCTCGATTTTCACTGACCAAAGCATTCACTCCACTGTATAAAGAAAAAGAAGCTGAAAAGAGAGCAGTTGAAGAGGAAGATCGAGAGATGTTAATGTCGATTTCACGTAATTGAGGCTTGACCATTGCCTTTCCATTAGTGAAAGTTTTCCAACTATATGAAGACCCACCATATTTCATTTTTTTTGTATGCCTTTTTAGTTTTTTTTTTGCTGCTATTTGAATTTTTCGTGGGCTTTTTTTGTTTTATTTGGGTGACCTAGGCGCTTTCAAAACTTTCATTTAAGCAGAAACACCCACCAATACATCCCATTGGAATTTACCACGATGGACATTACGCATACGCCACCATGTACGCGCAATAATTTCGCTTGGCTTTGGTTTTGGCTTGCGTAATCCCCTCCAGCTGGTCGAGATGGTCAAAGCTGGTTGGTCGAATTCGGCACCCGACTCTGCAATGAATTGCACATTTGCATAATGACTAATTTTTGCCGTTCGCGCATCCCATTCGCAACCGCTTTGGATACCCCTTCTTCATCCATTCAATTTCAATTTCAACTTTACACTGTTGAGCAAAAAAAATGTTACACCTTTCCGGGTAATTGGTTTAAATTCAACATTTAACGCTTGTGCAACGGTTTTTTAATGATAGAGCTGAAGATTATGGGCAGTAAAGATGAATATGGTTGTATAAAAGTGATGAACATCAATCCGAAGCAGGCATTAATGATTTGGCTTAGTTTCTGTTAAGTGGATATCGTGTTTGGTACTTTCCAAGGACGCAAATATTTACAAGGTGTTTTTACTATTACTTTGAAGATCAAGGTGCTTTAGTGTTATTAAATAAATTATTCATACGACCTGTGAGCAAGGGATTCGTAGAGGCAGTATTGCAAAAAAAGCAGGTGTTTATAAAAAAATATATATTTTGTTATTATATAGATACAACAATAAATATTTTATCTAATTTGCTCACTAATTTTCCTATCAAATACAGGATCTGAGTGATAAAAGATAATTCTAATATATAGTTCTGATAGCCAAATGCGACTATTCAACTAATATCGATTTTTGTACTGTTTTACTGTGTTTGGGTAGTGAAGTGTTGGTAACCGATTCCATTAAAGAACGCCTCTTCTTTAAGTATTTTACACTCCTTGCAGCCTAGTGTTTAAACAAGTTCTTTTTTGCGAAAGTCTCATATTTTTTGGTAATCAAGTTTCCCCATTTATCTTGCAGCCATGTTGAAATCCATTCTCGTTTTGTCGTGCCTTCTGGTGGTGGCCATCAGCAACAGCCTCGTAAACGCCGAGGATCTGAAAGTGGAGGTGATCAGCACGCCGGAGGTGTGTGACCAAAAGTCCAAGTCCGGAGATTCCCTCACCATGCACTATACTGGAACCCTGCAGGCCGATGGAAAGAAGTTCGATTCGAGGTGAGTGACTTACAAATATTTTTAGGAACTTATTACAAAGGTGTTATCAACACTCATACAAAAGCTTACCGAACAAACCTAATTTCCTAAAAATGATATATTCCTTAACTTAAAAGTTATTGTTCTTATAACTACTAATCACAATGTATTCAACATTTTTTAACTTCCTATAAGTGGTACATTTCTCGGAACATTTTTGGATATTAAAGGTTCTCTTCAATGTTAAATTGCTTACTCAGAATATTTTAGGTAGGATTTTTCTTATGAACAAATTCTTTAATACTAATTATATTTCTCAGAAAAGGGCAAAGTTATCTTTATTGATAAACTATTTTCTCAGAATACGTTTGCTTATATATAAGATTTATTATTTAATTTCCAACAAAAAATCAATTCTTTCTTATCCATAATTACAAAAATATATTTTCTAAAACTGAAACCTTGCTCGATATATCGAGTAAGCAAAGCTTGGTAGTTAAATATAATTATTATTTCACATTAACGAACAAAATTCGGGGAAATGTCAGAGTTCAGGATGAAATAATTTTAAAGCCGACTTTGCCCGTAATCTCCACACACGCACGCACACAAGCAAACACTGGGTTCCATTGGAGATTAACATACTCGCAGATACATGTGTTTTTCGTATGGGATTAAAGCTGCTGGTGCTGCATAGTCAGTCTGTCGTCACGGCGGCTCATTGCCGTAAATTAGACGCCAACTGATAAGCGATCTCATTGTTGCATTGTCGCTGTTGCTGTTGTTTTTCGCATTGGTTTTTGTTGCTGTTGCTGTTGGTGTTGCTGGTGCATTTTCCATGCCCGAATGCGCCCCTTCTTCTTCCAACCCATCTCAATCTCATATTTCCCGCTTTTTGTTTCATTTTCTGTGGGTTATGGGCGTTTATTGTGACGTGGACCTCGATTTTTGGCTCCATTAAGCAAAGAAATCATTTTCCGGTGAAAAACTAGCCAATAAAGTTTGTCAGGGCCAAGGTTTCGAAATGAAATCACTCATTAAATTATTCAAGGTAAAAAAAGGTTGGTAAAGACACTTAAGATCTTAAAATTGTCTAAATGAAAATTAAAAA